GTTATAAATAATAAATATGTCTCTGTCACCAATTTTAAGTGTAGTTCTTCTAAATCTGGAGTTTCCTTAAAAACAAATGAGTAAAAAAAAGATAGACCACCTTTGTTCAGAAAGGACCACCTGAATTTTGGATCCAGTGGTCCGGCATACCGCCTGCTGAAAAAGTTAGTGTCGAGACCTGATCTAAAGTATGTTTTTATTAGGTTTATCAATGATTGTGTGCATGCTACATTTGCTCTTCATATAAACATACTTCACACAAACAAGTATTTATGGATTATTCATTTTCAAAATTGGCACAATAATTTTTATTAAATATACAGGCAGTAGATATTTAACTTAACAAAGTCATGTTTAATTAGCAAAGAAACAGTCTTAACAAAGCAGAATTTTGTTAAGTTTATAAAGGGGAATAATTCAGTGAAAATGTATGCAGGGGTTTTAAAAGTGACGTGGATAGTGACCAACAAGAATCTATATGTCAGAGATCGAGTTATGTTTCAACAGGAATATTTTTATTACATACCCTGGTTTCAAATTAATATTCACAACAGTTCTAGACACAAATAAACTAACCTCATTATAAGGGTTATGACTCTTGACAAAGTCCAGGCTAGAGTTATGACCATTGGTCAGTTCCCAATCATTATTACACAAATGACAAGTGTTGCTTTAAGTGTAGTTGTGGAGGTAGAATACCTTTAATAGGAAATTTATATGCCAAAAACGGTTATGTGACTGGGATAAAGTCATATGCAATGATTATTCTGAAATAGACGTATCATTGATGAGATATGAAGATGCAAAGAAAACCATAATCAAATGATCCATTTTTGCTGAAATAGGTAAATCTTTTTAAAATTGGACAAAATCCAGCACACGTACATTGAACTATATAGCTAAGGTCAATCCTTTTGATATCCATTCACTTATTTTCTGATCCATTATATAAACAACAATTAAATAAACCCCAATTAAACTATATTAAAACTTACTTACATTTTCACCATTTTATTCCATTTTCTGACTTTCTCTTCGGTGTACATCTTAAGAAAGAAAGTAAAGATTTGAATTTTTGGTTTTTAATTTTTATTTTTCATATATACATACAAAAAGGGTGTCACAAAACGAAATTTAAAACTTCAATGAACTACCATCGTAAGATACTTTTATATTTTATTCAAATTGCTAGTAACTAAAAAAATTTAATTCTTAATGTATACAAGACTTCAAGTCAATTAATTATGTACCATTTTTATCAGTTCATTGATGGACCTTCATTGATGCCAGTGAGTTTAATCAAACTATATGTCTATTTCGTCATATCTGCTATACCAGCTATTGTCAGAGTTTTCCTTTTATTTATTTATTTCTTTTTTTTAAATTTAATTGTAAACAAAAACTCATGGTCCTTAAGGGCATAAGAGTGAACAAACAAACAATACAACAAATAATAATACAAACATGGCATAGAAATACCCAATTTATGCACAGGCGCTAGTCACATAATCAAATATTTTACATAATCTGTCTTTATTATGTATATATAAGATCTTATTATAGTGTATAGCCCATCTTTAAAAAGTTTGTTTCTATATGTTTCAAGTTTCACGTTTTTTATTTCAACTAGGCCCATATGGACATCAGTTTTATAAACAGTAAAATTTCACAAACAAATGAGCATTAGCAAAAAAATAATACAGATGTGTAAATAAAGCTTGAGACAAAATAATTTGCATGATAAATACAAAAATAAGATTAGAGATACCTATATATGAATGACTTTACAAATAGGTGACTAGAATGAGACATAATGTTACATTTTTATGTTAATATAGCTCAAAATATTGGTATCAACAGTGATATAATGATTAATGAACAACACCCTAGTGTACAGGCTATCTCTGATAAAATCCAAAGCAATAATAATTTTGTATTTAAACCTGTTACATCTCAGGAAGTGCATAAGCTTCTGCACAGTGTGGATGGTAAGAAGGCCACAGGTATTGATAACCTACCTCCAAAAATTATAAAAGCAGGTGCTGAATCTCTTGCGGAGCCTATAAAATGTATAATAAATAAATGCTTTATTAATAATACTTTTCCGGAGTCCCTGAAAATGGCTCAGGTTACTCCAGTTTATAAAAAAGAAGATCCTTTTCAAAAGAAAAATTATAGGCCTGTAAGTATTCTGCCCACTTTCTCGAAGATTTTTGAACAATCAATAAATAAGCAACTAGTTTCATACTTTGACAACATTTTTCATAATTTTCTGGCAGCTTTTAGATCTAAATTTGGATGTCAAACTACTCTTTTACGGCTAATAGAAGACTGGAAAAATGCCTTGGATAGACATGAGTATGTAGCAGCAATACTCATGGATCTGTCAAAGGCATTTGACTGTCTCCCACATGACTTGATCGTATTGAAACTTAAGGCCTATGGCTTATCTGACACAGCCGCAGAACTTATGCACAACTACCTGTCAAATAGAAAACAAAGGGTTAAGCTTGGTAAAGCATGCAGTGACTGGATGTCAATAAATAAGGGAGTTCCCCAGGGATCCATTCTAGGGCCTCTTATTTTTAACATCTTTATTAACGACATCTTTTACTTTATTAAATTAGCCACTGTGTACAATTATGCTGATGACAACACATTATCTTACTGTGATACCAATATTGACTCTTTACAATCTATACTGGAAAATGAAAGTTTATCTATGATAAAATGGTTTGATAATAATCTAATGCAAGCCAATCCGGACAAATTTCAGGCAATTTGTATTGGAAAACAAGCAACTAGTAAATTAACCTCTTTTTGTCTTAATAGTACAGAAATTGTCTGTGAAAAAAGCGTGAAACTTCTTGGTGTTGAAATAGACTCTTTACTAAACTTTGACTTACATGTATCTAACATTTGCAAAAAGGCTGCAAAACAAATCAACATTCTTGCTAGACTGAGTAAATTCTTAAATCAAAATACTAGATTGTTAATCTACAAATCCTTTGTTCGTTCAAATTTTAACTATTGTCCTTTAGTTTGGCATTTTTGTAGTAAACAAAATACTGAAAAACTTGAAAAGTTACAACATAGATCATTGAAGATAGTTTTTGAGGATTACAGCTCATCATATGAATTTCTTTTAAGTAAAGCTAATATGCCAACTTTACATATCAGTAGATTAAGACAATTAGCTATTGAAGTTTTTAAATGTTTGCAAAATATATCACCAAAATATGTTCAAGAACTAATTAAAGTAAATTCCTCTTATTACTCTTTTAGAAATAACAACACACTTGAAGTTCCTAGAGTAAATACAGAGACTTATGGTAAGAAAAGCTTTCGCTATGAGGCCACCCAGGTCTGGAATAGCCTCCCGAATGAACTAAGAACAGAAACTGATTACGGTGAATTTCGGAGGCTTATCCAAACCTGGAGTGGCTTCAAATGCAAATGTTCTATGTGTGCCTAAGTGTTATGTTTTTTGTTGAGTTTTGAAATGTGAATCAAATGAATCTGCATGCTTCTTTTGTTTCTTCTTTTGTTTTTCCTGTATTTCTGTCTGCCATAGAGTAATGCTGTATAAGACCTGTTTTATCATGTAATGCTTTTCATGTGCTTCTTGTGTGTATATTTGTATAGTCATTTGTCAGTGCATGTTAGTGTTTGTATATGTGACAGCTGCTGATCAGCTTTTCATATATCCCATAAAGGGGACAATAGCTTCTTTAAGTCTATTTTTACCTTTTTATTTCTACTTTTATTTTATTTTTGTTCTAATTAATTAAGTAATTAACTTAGACCATGAATTTATCTAGGCCAACTCAGATCAGCATCTGTTACACAAACATTTCAACATTTTAAGTTTTATTATTATGATACTTGTACATGTTCTAGTTACACCCATAGTTTCATGACTGAGTACATATCAGATGCTGCTACTGATATGTGCTCAAGCATCATACTTGAAATTAGGTTAACTATATTTAAATAAAATAAAATTGAATCATTTACTGTACTTTAATTTATTTTAAAAATTTAAATTTTTTAAAAAATTCTAATCCTTTTTCTGATTTTAGGGTTGTGTACATAAATAGAACTCTTGTATGATGTAATTTTATGTGATGTTTGATTGTAATGTATATTTGCTTTTAATCATTAATGCTTTCTTACCCATATTTATATGTGCTGATAAATCTTAACTGTTTTACAGAGTCTTTCATAAATGTACATTGATCTTCTTAATACTTTTATATATTTTCTTTTATACAGATTGTTTGTTTGAATTGTTATAGGATAATAAGTTTTGTCGGAAAATAGCTTATATAGCTAATGTTTATATGTTTTTATGAAACCGACTTTAAATAAAGATTATCTTATCTTATCTTATCTTATCTTATCTTAATGGAACCGCACAATGAAAGTTCCTGACCAAAACACAAATGAAGTGATGCAGCGACATGGTGTAACCACAACATGGGGCCCATGAAGCCCCACATAGCAACCACACCACGCCGGTACAATTAGTTCCACACAAATTAAATAGGAAGTGTCACAATGCGATTACAAATGTCATGAGACCTTAAAGATGAAAAAATAATAATAAAAAATTAAATAAAATACATAAAAATAGATGAAGTAAATAATGAAAATCAAGACAATACTTGTGTTGGCAATAGATACTGACTAGAAGGTGGTTAAAACATTATTTCACAATAGACATTATTCTTTGTGTAAAAACAGACAGTTTGATTAACACAGTTCTGTCAGTATTTTGAAATAATTGTTTAAAATTAAACATGTTACCTCTTCGTAAATTAATATGCAAGTACTTTCTACGATAAATGTCAAATAAGGACACTGGAAAATGTAATGAAACTCATCACCTAATACAGAATTCTTTGTGTTAATTGAAAGTAAGCTTAAAGCGTCCGCGTTTTAGACAGGCCCAAATTTTGGTGTGCCGACAACGCTAATTTTATAATTGATTCGTTAAATTTTATTCGAGAGTTACTGCCCGTTGTGTCAAGGAAACATGTAAACTTCCTCTGAGATTTTTTTTTATTATTGAACTCATAGAACGGGCTAAATATTTATTTTTGTGCCATGGCATTAAGTTAAACATGTTTAATATGTTTAAATAATATGTATACTTCATGTAATAACATTATAACTGAAATACCGTGCGAAATAAATCTGGACAAAAACAAACAACATGGCGGCCAGTGCCAAAATGTCGTTTAATCATTATCAAAATGGAAAGTACGGTACATTGCCACAGAATACAAACAACGATATGGAGGTTACACAGGATATGCACCTTAAGATGTCAAAAAAGATTGCACAGCTGACAAAGGTATTACATGAAGATTAAATTAGATTTTCACATCATAAATTTAATTTTTGGAAGTGGCTAGCCAAAAGTTCTAGACGTACGTGAGTTCATACGACTAGCCAGGACTCACTGTATTGTCTAGCCGTACAGCACTTTCAAAATTATATGGAAGTTGAAAGTGCATATGTTATTTTGTGCCTTATGATTTGTTGTTTTATTTGTATGAAAGGTTTTTGTACATGGATCGAATAAATGGTAATGTAACGATTCGCCACACTAACGATTCGCCACATAACGATTCGACACAGAGTAATAACGATTCGCCACAGTTAAATAACGATTCGCCACGTGTTCAAATACAAAGTTTTTCACACCTGTTTTCAAATTGTTGATGGAAATTTTTTTTCCATTTTATATTTCATTTGTTAATTACATAAATTAATTACACTGAATACAGCTTTTATTGAATAAAAAAACACACGAAAACCAAATATTTTATTAACAAAATTACGTAACACATTTTATAACTTTGTTATTTATATAAACTGGAAAAATATACTAACAACTTTTATAGAATAAAAACACATGAAAATAAATATATTTTATTACCAAAATTACATCACACATTAACTGTAGATGAGAAAAACTTCGTTATTTATATAAACTGGAAAATTATACAAAAACAACTTTTTTTAAATAAATTAAGACACATGAATATTTTATTACCAAAATAACATTACACATTTAAGATAAGTTATTTTTAGAACAAGTAGAAATAGTTTATTTCGGTAACTTATACATTTACAATATCTCGTTACATACAATAATTACAAAGATAATAATTCTGTGGTCACATGACAAAAGCAAAGAAAAAAATATTAAGAAGAACATAAAAAGTTTTAACTGATGACATTCTAACGGAGAACAGACAGCTGCAAATAAAGGAACAAAGAACATCACAATTTCATTATCATTCATAGAAATAAAAAGTTCCAGTAAGAAGAGAACACTAAAAAACAGAAAAGACGTGACAATGACAGCGTCAAAAGTATAGTATTACATGTATCTTTTTAACGATAATAAGTTGAAACAATTAACATTTCAAAATGTGTTATGAATTAACAACGGGTGGTAACAATTCTTGTCGCTTTTTATTAGCTTCATCTATATATTTTCCTAAATTTACAAGTATAGCTTTATTATCTGATTGTAGTAACTCTACTAATTTATACACATTTATATAACTAACATATTTTATTACAAAATTTACATAAATAAGCTTAATTGCCGCATTGTTTTGAAATCTGATCACATGATTGTCAGATAATTAAAGGATTATTTCGGCGTCAATTAAATATTTCTACAACAAGCTTAAGGTGATTGGTTTATTAAAATTAAAGGTGTGACAAATGTTTTAGATATGCGTTCTTTAATCAATTATCCTAAATCAATTTTCGTAATGATCACATGTTTTTGCAATATCTTTTTTTTAAATATTTGACATATATATAATATATGAAACATATATTTATATATATAAATATTAATTGACATTTATGTTTATGATTAATTCAATATTTATTTAAACATATAATTACTTTCTTGTAAATGTACTCCTGTAATAATGTTACTTTGATAAATTGAAAATCCGCGATGGGGGCTTTAAGTTCATGTTACTTGTATTAAGAAACATTATTAAATTATTGTCATTGTCAAATTATTAAAACAAAAGGAAAAAGTTTGTTGATAACTATAAAAAAAACCATTGTTAGATCTATAATCATACTGTGGCGAATCGTTATTTAACTGTGGCGAATCGTTATTACTCTGTGGCGCATCGTTATGTGGCGAATCGTTAGTGTGGCGAATCGTTACTAATTCGAATAAATAATGATCAGATAATGAGTGGATAAATAAAAAGAACATTGAAAAAATAAACGGTGAAATGCAAAAATAATTGTATAATTTTCAAAAAAAGTAGATAGATATCGAACATAAAAGCACAATCAATTAATTAGCCTTAATTAAAGCCTACCAAGGGACTGACAATAGAATTTTAAAATGTGTTTCACGGAACATGCAAACTTTCCTTAATGATGGACAAACTTCTATACCGTCGGTAATTGACGCAATTATCAAAGCCCAACAACAATTCACGAATTCGAAAACCTAGCTAAACACCATTTTCCGGTACTTTCTGTACATAGCTCTGGGGAATTCACCTAATGGAGTGTAATTGCGAATATGATGTTTTCGGCCTTTTTTTAAAATTAAATTGAAATAAAAACATTTTTATCTTTATAAGAAAATAATTAAATATCATTGTATGAATAATTCCATAAAAAATAAAGTAAATACACAAGTTTACACAGAAAATAACCTTATTTATTCTGGAAGATTCCACTACGTCTGTTTTAATGTTATTGATTTTCATTATAAACAATTTTTTTTTTTGAAAAATTTGCAATAAATATTAAAGGAATATTGATAATTTTCAAATACATCAATTTTTTTTTCACCTTAAATGGTGAAATAATGATAGAAAAATGAAATATCATGTAACTGTGTTATGTACTTCATTTGGTGTAATTCCCCTGGCAGAGCTAAATCCATAATGTACCGGAAAACGGTGTTTAGCTAGGTTTTCGAAAAGGTCAATAAGTTTCGTTTTTTTGTTTCATTTAAAGGTGTCGAAAATTAAACTTAATGAAACAAAAAAGGACTATCATCAAAATTTCTAAACTATTTCAATTGTTGTTATTTAACTTCGACCAAACGCTATTTTTTCTCGACGTCTTGAGATGACAATTTCACAAAGATCGATAATTATACTTTTTTTACTGTAGCCAACAAGGCGATTTATCTCTAAAAAGTAAACATACGAAGACAATTGCTGTTTCTTGGTTAAAATCCTCGCTTAAAGTCATAAAATAACATATGCATTTATGACTTCCATATAATTTTGAAAATGCCGTACGGCTAGCCAATACAGTGAGTCCTTGCTAGTCGTACGTGACTCACATACGGCTAGAACTTTTAGCTAGCCGTACGGCTAGCTACTTCCTTAATTTTTACCAACTGGAAGTAGATAGCCTAAACAGAAAATCTAGTACATAATTTCAAGTCAAGACAAAGTGCTATATGGCTTTGTGATAATTTCAGTTTGTTCTAAGTTATTGACATCTATTTGTTTAAGTTCCCCAAGAGGGGTTTGGCTTTAATGGGAAAACAAATAGATGTCAATAACTTAGAAAGTTAATCTCACCTTTAATAAGATTTGAACCAGTAACCTCTGGATAAGGAGTCCAGTTTTCTACCCATACAAAGAAGATTCAGTTTTGCCAAACTTGATGATAGACATTCATTATTTATTGTTTGTCACAGTCAGTCATATTTACTTAGTCTGTTTTGTTTCAAATGTCTGTTTGTAATTTTATGTTTAAAACGTACCTACCCGTCCCTAGATTTGCCACTAAAATGCCACCCTTTTCAATGGTGGAGTATTTAGACAATTTTCCACCAATAATGCCACCAAAACGCCACCAAAACGCCACCCAAATCATGAAAATGGTGAAAAATTTGAGCAGGACTGATGTTATATAATTTTCCAGTTAATTCCACCTTTTTTACACTAAATGCCACCAATGAGTGGAAAATTGGTGGAGTATTTAGACAAACTTTCACCATAATGCCACCATTATGCCACCTTTGGGTGGCAAACTCATTTTCCACTAGATGCCACTTGTTTCCACTTATTGCCACCATAATGGTGGAAAATTGGTGGAGTATTTAGACGAATTTCCACCATTATGCCACCATTGAGTGGCAAACTTATTTTCCACCAAATGCCACTTATTTCCACCTTTTGCCACCATAAGGGTGGAAAATTGGTGGAGTATTTAGACACTTTTCCACCATTTTGCCACCAGATAGTGGCAAATTCAGTTTCCACTAAATGCCACCTATTTTCACCCTTTCAGAAATTTTCCACCTTGTGGGTGGCAATAGCTGGAAACTGCTTGAAAGTCACCCTGTACCCTAAATCGGAAACAAACAAATTTTCAAAATAATCCTTTTTAATGTTTCCATATGAAATCATATATTGTCTCAAAAAATAGCAAAACATTAGTCCATTTATTTTCTTCAGTTTATCTTGCTATTCCTGGACAGTTTGAGTTCAGTCCTTTAGGTTGTCGGCAACTTTTCGAGCGCACAATCTAAAACAAAAAAATTATGAATGATTAATGCAATAATTAAAAACATAAGCTTACATTTTTATATGACTATTGGATATTTCTATATTCAATTTGAGTGCATAGATATGATTAAAACACTTTAAAAACAGCACTGCAGACGTGGAAGAATCAGACTTTTCTTATTTACTCCAAGGCAGAAAATATACGCAGAATCAAAAATGATATTTTCATTCAGTTCATTAGTTACCTTCCAAGAACTTTTGCCTTGTCTGCACAAGAAGGTCTGGCGTCAGACTCTTTGTTCCCTTTCCTCATACTAAACAATGAGCGGCCTTTAATCTCTTCTATATTGAATAGCATTCTGAAGAGCTTTGCTGTACCTTTCTCTTTTGAGGCATATGGCTTCAGTTCTGCCATCACTTGGTCCTAAAATATGATAAACAATATCAAATAAGTAAAGACAGAAAATGATTATCAATATCTAATATGTAAAGACAGAAAATGAAACACTTTTATAAGACCTTGGTATATGTATACAACTCTAAAATTTTAAAATAAGAAAGAAATAAAGAAATACAACACATCAACACCAGTGCAGGTTGAGTCATTAATAATCTTCCAGTTTCAGTTCTTAACGAACCTTCATCAGGATAAATATTTGATAAAATTTTCAAGCTAAAATGTACAAAAACTCTAAAATTTGTAAAACAAAATGTAAATGCAAATTAAAGTGTCATAAAGAGTTTGAATTAAAGTAGGTTTGTAAATAGTGACTAATAGCTATATTTATCAAGAACTGAAAAGTGTCTTATTGGGTACTGGGACACTTCTTTCCTATTAATTCTAAAATAACTTTGAATTAACAAGATACCTTTGTAAAGCCACTGAAGATCAAATGTGTTGCTCCAGGCTGCTCCTCATTGCTTTGTGTCTGCAAAATAATAATTCTTATTTAATGCTGTTTCTGTTATGAACTGTCATTCTCCTAATAGCATGTTACTCTAGACTGTCTAGTTATGGTTATATAATTATCTACTGCACCATGAAAGCTGAATTACAAAAATGAAGGAATGAAACTTACTAATAAATCAGTTACTGTTAATCTGCTCCACATGTGACACAGAAGGAAAATTGTTTATAGCATGAAAGTTGTAGTAATAGGTACCTCAGGTTATCTATAGTTTGATTGATGTAATATTGTACATAATGATATTGTACTTACTGATTAATTTCTATAATTTTTTTCTCAAACTTAAAATTTCTAACATATTGTATTTAAGAAATGATGAAGATCTTCCTACATTCTTTATATTCCTACATTCTTTATATGTACATTGTACATGCAGCTTTCTTTTTAGTCAAGTTACAAACAAAACAAATATAAAAAAACAATTTTATACAATACCACTTCATATTTTTACTGTCAAAAAACTAAACAGTTTCGGCATAAATAACAATAATTATTGTATGTAAAAGTTGTTTACCTGAAACTTTGACTGGGAATGATTCTGCTGTTTATCTTCTTGTCTACACATTCACACTTCAGTTAAAACTTCTCATTTCTAATTACCACACTAATAAGACTTTAAATGTTTTCTTTGAGAAATCAAAAATATGCACCCTTACATTTTAAACAAAATATCTCCAGAATTGCTACAATATCAATAATTTCCTTTGTGTTTGCAAGCTTTAACTGACCTCAATTCCTTTGAATTCAAACTTTACAACGGTGTAACTGCATGGCCAGTCCATTATAATTTTAAATTGTGAGGGATTTTCCAAAAACCAAGCACCCATCATTTTATTTTTTACATTCATTTGAATGTATAACTATATCTAATACCTAAATAGATTGAGTAGAAATAAGCTTTTGAAAGATAATTTAGCATGCTATTTTAAGACAAATTCTACATAAAAACATGTATAATGTTGCCTCTCCCAAAATAATCAAATGGAACATTCTGGTCAGCATGAGTAAACTATTAACCCCCATTCATAGATTACTAGATAAGAGGGCAGTAGTTTTATCAGATCTGAGATGTAATACTTGCTGTGTTGTTAAATCTTAGAGGATGTAGTATTTACTAGATAGTATTTACTTATCCTGATTGTAAGAAATTTATCAGACATTATGACTTATTTACTTTTCACACATTAATTTTTACAATAGATTTATAAAGCTAATCTGAAAGCATAGCACAAAAGATGTTAGAGACAATAATTTTAAACTCCACATATAACTAAATCTCATTTATGAGAAGTTACAATGCCAAGGAACCATAACTTTTTATTGCATGATTTGGGGTTTATTGCCATTTTTTACTTCTCTATGCTTAATTTTTGTCTTGATCATTAAGCTTAAAAAGTACTGGAGATATTAATTTGAAACTTCACAGATATAGATCTTTTTTAGCAATGTGCTGTGTTTAAGAACCATAACTCTTTGCCTACTTTTGGAGTTATTGCCCTTTGCATTTTTCACTTTAATTATTGTTAGCATTACATGAAAATTGTTAGTACTCACCAGATATCAATATTGAAGAGACAATTTATTTTGTCAATTAGAAGAAAAGACAAAAGTCAAACTTTATTCAAGATTGACATTAAATATCATAGAAGAAGCAACAAACTTTATGCAGAGATATGCATTTTCTGGGCATAGAAGAACATTTCAACTATTTAATTAATGTACAGATTATAACTAAAGAACAAAGTACACTTTAAAAGCCGTAATTTTATTATGCCCCCGCCATGTAATGGCCGGGGCATATAGTGTTACCCTGTTTCCGTCCTTCCGTCCTTCCGTCATTCCATCCTTCCGTCCTTCCGTCATTCTGTCATTCCGTCATCATCAGTTTCCGTTCATTATCTCAGTAACGGTTGCACATATTCAACTCAAATTTGACATATGGATATGTCGTGAGAAAATACAGGTCAAGTTCGAATTTGGTCATGGTTCGATGATTTTTGGCAGAGTTATGTCCCTTTTACTTTGAAAATAATATGAAATTTTCAGCTTCCGTTCATTATCTCCCCAACGGAACAACACATTCAACTCAAATTTGACATATGGATATGTCATGAGAAAATACAGGTCAAGTTACAATTTGGTCATGGTTCGATGATTTTTGGCAGAGTTATGCCCCTTTTACTTTGAAAATAATATGAAATTTTCAGTTTCCGTTCATTATCTCCCCAACGGTACAACACATTCAACTCAAATTTGACATATGGATATGTCATGAGAAAATACAGGTCAAGTTGGAATTTGGTCATGGTTCGATGATTTTTGGCAGAGTTATGCTCCTTTTACTTTGAAAATAATATGAAATTTTCAGTTTCCGTTCATTATCTCCCCAATCGTACAACACATTCAACTCAAATTTGACATATTGATACGTCAAAGGAATGCGCAGGTCAAGTTCAAATTTGGTCATGGTTCGATGATTTTTGGCAGAGTTATGCCCCTTTTACTTTGAAAATAATACGAAATTTTCAGTTTCCGTTCATTATCTCCCCAACCGTACAACACATTCAACTCAAATTTGACATATGGATATGTCATGAGAAAATACAGGGCAAGTTCGAATTTGGTCATGATTCGATGATTTTTGGCAGAGTTATGCCCCTTTTACTTTGAAAATAATACGAAATTTTCAGTTTCCGTTCATTATCTTCCCAACGGTACAACACATTCAACTCAAATTTGACATATGGATATGTCATGAGAAAATACAGGTCAAGTTTGAATTTGGTCATGGTTCGATGATTTTTGGCAGAGTTATGCTCCTTTTACTTTGAAAATAATATGAAATTTTCAGTTTCTGTTTATTATCTCCCCAATCGTACAACACATTCAACTCAAATTTGACATATGGATATTTTTTTGGAATGCCAAGGTCAAGTTCGAATTTGGTCATGGTTCAATAATTTTTGGCAGAGTAATGCCCTTTTCACTTTGAAAAAAATATGAAATTTACAGTTTCTGTTCATTATCTACCCAACAGTGTTACATATTCAACTCAAATTTGACATATGGATATGTCAAAGGAATGGGCAGGTCAAGTTGGAATTTGGTCATGGTTCGATGATTTTTTGGCAGAGTTATGTCCCTTTCACTTTGAAAATAATATAGATACATCTTAGGAATAGGCAGTTTAAGTTTGAATTTGGTCGTGGTTCAATGATTGTGGACAAACTTATCTTTCTTGAATATTGGAAAAAATTTTGAACTTTCAGTTTCAGCACTCATACTTTTGTGGAAATGTATGTAGCCATTATTTTGGCTACAAATATGAAATATGCTATTTTCAAAAGGTTACGACTGAATAATTTCAGTGCCTTGAACATTGTATGGAAATGGTTTGTGTTAACATTGAAAAGTTTTAAGGGCTTTGAACTTTAAATGAAAACAATAATTTGTGCAAACAAATTTGGAACTAAATATTATAACATCTGAAATTTTGGATGCATGCGGGGGCATCCGTGGCATGATGACACATTTCTAGTTTTACAAGCATAGAATGGAACATAAACATTTTGACTTGAAAGTCAAATTTTACATGATCCTAAAGAAAAGTGCACTGCCATAAAAAATGGGAAGTTAAGTAACCCCATACTTTTTCTAATTTTTCCTGATCATAATTATATGTGTTTAACGCCTGGAAAAGTGATTTTACGTCCAATTTCTGTGTCTTTTCCTGCTACTTTACAGCTGGAATTATCATACCATTACTGTGAGGCAGTGCTTTTGTATCAGAATTGTGTTCATAGCATTCTAGTATGTTTAAGAAATAAGAGTTTCTGATAAAATTTTCTAACTGTTCAACTTCAATAAATTATATTTTTGATAAAAAGTTCACTTGATGCTTTGGTAGAGTACAAACTATAAACAGATTTATTTCAGTTTGGAGCTTTGACTTAAATAAATCTTAAACCCTGTAATGCACAGTTATTAGATTTCTCAGTTTTTTTCACTAATTTTTATACAACCCAGAAAATAGTTAAGAGTTTCCCGTTTCGACTAAAAGTTATTCACAAAATTTTCTAAGTTTTTTTCCACTATTTTGCCACCCAGAAAATAGTTAGAGTTTCACTTTTCCACTAAAAGCCACTCATTTTCCACCTTCAAAATAAACTAAGTTTCATTTTTCACCAATTTCCACCCTTTTGCCACCATAAAAAAAGTCTATGTTCAACTTTCCACTCAATGCCACCTAAATGCCACCAAAGGATAGTGGCATTTGGTGGCAATTTTGCCACTACAGTGGAAAAAGAGTGGAATTTTGTCATTTTCCAGTTAATGCCACCTTTTTACACTTAATGCCACCCTTTTCAGTGGAAATAGCTGGCAAGTAGTGGCAAATCTAGGGACGGGTATATTTATTGAGTATATTTGGCCACATTTACAAATACTTTATCTTTAATATAAAAGTAACCATGTTGATTTTATTGTAGGTTATCTATGCGCTGAATACTAAAAATGATGAACATGAAGCTGTGCTCCAACAAATCAAAGAACAACATGAGGAAGAATTACAGCAGCTACTCAAGGAAACAAAAGAAAAAATTGCCCAGTTTAAAGAGAAGATAAATGCTGAAACCTCGCAGAATAAAAGACTGGAATATCTAGAGAAAAGTTTAGTTGAACATGAATCTCTTAAGAGCAGGCATTTAAACCAGTTTGATTCATTTAAAAGAGAAGCTGAAGAAAGAGAAATGAGGCTTAAATCAGAACATGCACAAAAGATGCTTGAACTGTCTCAAGATGTGCTTCACACAAAAAAGGATTTTGAAGAAAAGTTAAGACAATTTGAAGCTTGGAAAGAAGGCGTTAATGATGATAATGAAAGAAAAATAGGAGAACTGAAATTAAGCCATGAAAAAGAAATTGAGGCAGTTAGAAATCTGAGCAAAGATCAGAGTAATGACTGGTTAAATGAAGTTAAAAAGGTTGAAGATAAATATAAGGCAGAATTAGAAACATTGCATGCTAAATTTAAAGAAATGGAAGAGCAAAAACTTCAAATGAAAGAGGAATATGAAGCCAAACTTGAAAAGGCACGTCTATTCTATGAAAAGGAACTAGAAGCTGTTATGAAAATGAATAATATTTCTTCTGAAGAAGCTAATAGGATGTTACAAGAAGAAAAAGACAAACTAAGCAAAGACTTTGCAGCTCAGGAAGCTGAACTTAAAAAACAAATAAACAGTGTACTTAGTCAATTAACTGATAAAGAAGATGAGGTGGACAAACTAAATGAAACATTAAAAAATTTAGAAAATAATCTACAAGAAAAAGATGGTAGTTCACATGATCTTTTAAAACAGGTAAGGAGATATAGAAGATAGTCTTCTCTTTATATTTGAGTATGATACCAGGTCCTTTTGAAAATTTCCCTAGGTCTTTCATTCATACTTTGCTGCAAAAAAGTGTACTTGATGTCCTTTGGTGGTTTACTGGTTTTGTGAATAATTATTTTGTAGATTGAATCAAAATAACAATATAAAACATTATCACAATAACATTTATAACAGTATAACAATTAAGTATTTTAAGTTCTTGAAAAAAAAACAATAAAAAAACTAATTTATCTTTACAGTATCATGAATGTCAACATTTTCTTGATTTGGTTTCTTTGCTTTACAGTTACAAAGTGCCCATGATGAAAACAATGCCAATCTTGCTAAACTGAGAGATACAGAGAATGAACTAGCTGTAATGAAAGAACGTTGCAGTAGACAGGAAGAGGAAATGGTGAAAAAGTCAGGTATACATGTATATAGCTAAATTAATGATTTAGTCATATCTAGCCTATACATGTAAATGTACCATTTGACCTTTACATCTATTTCAGCAAAAACTTACTAATCTGTTACACTAGTACTTGTACAAGTGGCAATGTTACATTTGAAATAGAGTCAACCTCAAAACAAAGAAAAATGCCCAGTCTGACCAGGACTCAAACCCAAGATCCTTGGAATATCATTACACAACCATACAGATATCTGATAGAGCTATCTATCCCTTTACACATTTTTTCTCTACCTATTGACACACCCACTCCACTATATTGAACATGTTTTTTGAATTTCGTATGGGTACAAGAACACTTCTCAAAACCTCTGGAGCTATAAATCGTCACGGTTCCCTGTATGTCACAAAATGTGACAGGGTGAGAAAAATGTGCAGGCTAACTTAGGCTTCAACCTGGTAAATATGAAACACGGCTTGGTGGCTCACTGAGCCAGATCTACTAACTGAGCCATCTGGCCTCCTAAAAATATATTTTTTTCCCCTGTTTAGTGAAGAGTTCTAAACTGGGACACAAGTTTATCTTAACCCTTTCCCCCATGAGCATATTGTGAAAAATGGCCATTTTCACTGAAAAGCCTCCTCTTACAAGTTCAAACTGCTATGAAACTATGAAAAATGCTTCAACACTAATCAAACTTGGCACAAATGTTGACTGGACCATTGCCCTTGCAACAACATGCTCAGGCTAAAATTTTCTGTGACCATGGCAACGAGGGGACATCTCAAAATTGCCAAAAATCACTTTTTTGCCTCGATTTTTTCCATCAAAATTTATTTCAAAGTGCTGCAACTTCTCAAGGGATTGAGATAGAGTCAAAGGCTTTTCAGCGTTGGTTACACGTTACCTTATGATCAACCTAGGGTCATTTTAAGCCTCTGACAAGATCAAAATTTTCTTGGCGATGAGGGGGACTCCGCCCCGCTTCAAACCCCCCAAACAGAAGGGGGCACATCCCCCTTCTGGCAACCCCCTGATGTATTATTTGGATGGGGGACGGTGCCGAAAAAATGGTCACTCTTTTTAACAACATTTCTCAAACGAAAAACAGTGTTTGGGGTCTAAATAGGACATTTTTTCACTGTTTGAGGCCTCAAAAAAAGGGGGGGGGGGGGGCAAAAAGCCGTCGAAACACGCTTATATAAGGGAAAAGGTTAAAGCATACTTGAATTTGTGTACAACTTTTGTATTTCAGCCACCATTGGAAATCTTGAAGCCACAAAACTACAGAATGAATCTACAATACAAGATTTAGAAGGTGAAATAAACAAACTGAAGGATAAACTTGCATGGTTAGAGAAGGAACGAATGAACCTTGAACGACAAAAGTCGAGTCTCACTCAAAACCAAATGTCTCAATTGAAATCATTAGAAAAGGTATGCCATCTTGAAGTGTGTCTTGTAAGATTTAAAGATGAATATCATAATTTGATTTAAGAAGCTTGGAAATAATTCTTTTACCATTTCGAAATGTGTATTTTTAGCTCACCTGTCACAAAGTGACAGGGTGAGCTTTTGTGATCGCTTTTCGTCCGGCGTCCGTCCGTCGTCCGTCCGTCAGTCCGTCCGTAAACTTTTACTTTAAATGACATCTCCTCATAAACCACTAAGCCAATTTCATCCAAACTTCACAGGAATGTTCCTTTGGTGGTCACCTTTAAAAATTGTTCAAAGAATTTAATTCCATGCAGAACTCTGGTTGCCATGGCAACCGAAAGAAAAAACTTTAAATATCTTCTTTTAAAAAACCATAAGAGCTAGAGCTTAGATATTTGGCATGAAACATCTTCTAGTGAGTGTCTACCAAGTTTGTTCAATTAAAAGCCCTGGGGTCAAAATTGGCCCCGCCCCGGGGGGTCATTGATTTTCCCTATATGCATATAGTAAAAACTTAAAAAATCTTCTTTTAAAGAACCCAAAGAGCTAGAGCTAAGATATTTAGCATGAAACATGTTCTAATGGGTGTCTACCAAGTTTGTTCAAATAAAAGCCCTGGGGTCAAAATTGGCCCCGCCCCGGGGGGTCATTGATTTTTCCTATATGCATATAGTAAAAACTTAAAAAATCTTCTTTTAAAGAACTCAAAGAGCTATGGCTAAGATATTGAGCATCTAACATGTTCTAATAGGTGTCTACCAAGTTTGTTCAAATAAAAGCCCTGGGGTCAAAATTGGCCCCGCCCCAGGGGGCCATTGATTTTCCCTATATGCATATAGTAAAAACTTAAAAAATCTTCTTTTAAAGAACCAAAAGAGTTAGAGCTAAGATATTTAGCATGAAACATGTTCTAATAAGTGTCTACCAAGTTTGTTCAAATAAAAGCCCTGGGGTCAAAATTGGCCCCGCCCCGGGGGGGTCATTGATTTTCCCTATATGCATATAGTAAAAACTTAAAAAATCTTCTTTTAAAGAACTCAAAGAGCTATGGCTAAGATATTTAGCATCAAACATGTTCTAATAGGTGTCTACCAAGTTTGTTCAAATAAAAGCCGTGGGGTCAAAATTGGCACCGCCCCGGGGGTCATTGATTTTCCTTATACGTGTATAACAAAAACTTAAAAAATCTTCTTTGAAAAAACCCAAATAGCTAGAGTTAAGATATTAAGCATGAAACATCTTTTAGTGAGTGTCTACAAAGTTTGTTCAAATAAAAGACCTGGGGTCAAAATTGGCCCCACCCCGGGGGTCATTGATTTTCTTTATATGTGTATAGGAAAAACTTAAAATCTTCTTTGAAAAAACCCAAATAGCTAGAGTTCAGATATTAAGCATGAAACATCTTCTAGTAAGTGTCTGCAAAGTTTGTTCAAATAAAAGCCCTGGGGTCAAAACTGGCCCGGCCCCAGGGGTGTCATTGTTTTTAACTATATGTGTATAGTAAAAACTTAAAAAAAATCTTTTTTTAAAAAGCCCTATGAGCTAGAGCTTAGATGTTTAGCATGAAACATCTTCTTATGGGTGTCTACCAAGTTTGTGCAAATAAAAGCCCTTGGGTTAAATTGGCCCTGCAAGGTTGGGGGGATGGTTGGGGGGGCTATATACAGGTGATCGACCTCAGGGCCATCATGGCCCTCTTGTTTAAAATTTTCTATACATTTGTATCCTATTATTGAAGGCCAAAATATAGAATGTCCACAGTTTGGTTTCCTTTTCAAAAAAATGAGATAGGGTCAATGACTGTTTTTTTTTCATCATTTTTTTTTAAATTAAAAAAAAAAAGACAGATAGACAACATTTTATGCATTCTGAAATGCAGTTAAGCTTGACTGTTCAAAGAATATTGGGGCTATTCTTCTCTTCTGTGTGCCTGAAATAAATTTGGTTGAAGTTTATTTTAACTTCATAACATTATTTCTCATCCACCGCTAAAAGTATTTTCTTGAAACTTCACACATGTCGTTAAGATCATAATTTGAGTTAATTGTTTCAGATCCATAACCCTAGTATGGATTTTAATTGAGTTATTGCCCTTACATGAACTAGAAAATCCCTGGTTAAAGTTATGTAGAAAGATCTATCTAGGAGTACTCTTGAAACTTAACTGCTGACTTCAGGTTTATAATTCAAGATAATTGTCCAAGACCCATAACTCAAGCATTGATTTTGCTTAAAGGAAGTTTTTAAAAATTAAAATTTCTCAAATTTTTCTAAAAAAAAACACATTTTTTTCTAACCCAAGTCAGAGACCTTTTTCAAGAACAGCTGGAAAAGGCCCTGAACAGATTGTTTAATGTTACAAATTTTATAAAGGTTAAAACTCTTCAATGTTTCAGTCGCTGGAAGATTTATCAATAGAGAAACAAACAATGAAGGAAAGATATGAGCGTGAGATCGAGTCATTACGCAACAACTCCAGCAAGTCTGAGAAGGAACTCCATTCTCAGCATACAGCAGAATTGGAGAAATTACGGGAAAAGTTAATGTCCGAACTTGCTGCTCAAAAACAACAGGCTGAGAAACTTTTAGAACAGACAAAACAGGTTTGTTATATTTTATGTGAAGCTGATGAGATATGCTTTTAATGACAATTTATTATTATTTTTCTGTGCAAGAGCAAGCAAGCTGCAAGGGCACACTTGATGCAGATGTTAAATTGTAAGTTTAACACCACATATTGTTTCATCGTGAATTTTGTTCAAAGCAATATGATTAAATACAAGGATGTCTATAAGTTTAGTTGACAGACAGTTACTTTGAATAGTTATGGACTGGTGCAAAACCTGTTATTAGTGACTTCTGTTATTATGAATATATAATATTATTTATCTGTTTGATGTTATAATAATTTATATATGGCATTTATTTCAGGAGTTGAACGAGCAGCGTGAAACAGAGGTCACTGACATTACTAAGAAACGTGACACTGTACAAACAGAGCTTGACAACTTGAGGTCAGAGCTGACCAGTAGACTAAAGTCTGCAGAGGATGAGGTATAATTATTTATTTACAAGTCTGAATATTTTCATTGATGTGTAGCTCAGTGCAATGTTGTTATGAGTTAAATCACCTAGAATGTATTTAAGGAATAAACTGAAAACGTGACATAAAACCAATTGTAGAAACGATGAGTCCATATGATTTGACATAAAGTTTTTAAAAGTAAGTGGCCTATGATTTATACCTGTCATAGAATAAGGATATAAGATTATAAGGCCTGCAATGACTAAAAGAGTCATTTTAAATTGAAGCAGACTGTGTAATGTATAAGGAACTTTTATATTCAATTTGACTTGTTTGTTTATATCATTGTTGACTTTTAGGCTACAGTTTTGTTATAAGATTCATGGATATATTCTATTGCACAGTTCGGGCCAAAAGTGTCTCAAACATTTTCAAAACACTATCGTGGATGCCTCCAGTTAATTTTTCAATATGTTACTATGTCTGTATATCTATATGACTGTTGACAAGTTTTACTTTATCTAAAATCAAATAGCTAAGATTATTTTTGACAGATTTGGAAAAATATTCAAGATAAATGAATAAATTATAGGTGTTAGGATTTCCAAATTGCTTAAAATACAGTGGTCATTTTCAGTTTGTGAGGCTAATTGATAAATTTTAGATTGCTCAGTAGTATTTGCTTGAGAAAAAAATGTTTAATTCTAAGTTGCTGAAATGAAAGTGGTTATTTTCAGGTTGCAAGGGTGAATGGGCTATTACAAAACAAAGAGCAGGGTCTAGGATCAGCCACTGGTATGATAAACAGTCTACGTGATGCAAACACTCAACTACAACAACAACTAGAGAAATCTAGACTGGAACATAAAGCTGAGAAAAATCGAGCATCTGCACTGCAGGTAATTGTCTTATTATCAATGTTCTGTAGGATGCTGAAATCCAGTGCCAAATTTTTGTGAATGTACAAAACTTTGTGTAACAGTTCACATTTGTATACTTTTTATTTGTTTAGCATTGCTTTTACTTCCCATGGACCATGACTGTGATCTTTAATTGTAAACCAGTAAACATTATATGTCATAATAATTTGAGGATATCTCTTCCCTTTGAGTGAATATTTAACTTGTCATGAAAAAGCGAGAACAAATTCAAGTCCATTACAGTAAGACCATTGCAGTTGAGAATTTATTTATCATTATTTTCACTTTTTATTGAGATAAATCTAGCTTCAATCAAAACTTTCAAGTTTTCTCATCTATATTTATGAGAATGAGAATGAATGGGAAGAAATGAAAGTATATGATATACAGTGAATGATATAGCTTATATCTCATTGATTATATCGTCACTTTAGCTCAGTTACAGGTTAAGTCCTTCTAAATTTAATAGAAGTTAATCATTTATTGCACTAAGGTGATGATATGTTGTATTTTATAAGCATGAAATAAATGTTTTTTAATTCAGACTGAGCTGGATAAGTTGAGACTTCAATATGAAGCTGACATGAAAAAAGCCAAGATAGAATTCCAGGAGAAAATAGAGCAGACAAAATCTGAACTTGATATAAAATGGCAGGACTATCTCAGGTATTTTATCAACATTTTACAATCTAGGTTTTATAGTGGATGATAACAACTTTTTGCACACATTTTTAAGATGAATATGTTTCTTTCACTTAATTTATTAAGTGGTATTTCAGGATATAATTTAGTTTTAATTGTAACCATTTTTGTAATGCCGTTGTGCCTAAATACATCAAAAGCTTGCTGACACAAAAAGAATCATGAAAAACAGCAGAATTAGATAAAACAAAAACTGAAAATACTTAACCTGAAAAAAACCAAAAAAAACAACAAAAAAACAACACAAAAACCCCCAATGAACTGTTCCCTACATGTATGTCTCTTTTTGAATAGAAAATGGTTTTAATGTAACATGTAGAGATCTCTGTGGTAATTATGAGAGACTTCCAGTCTGTCACTTGTTTCCGACCCCTAAATGACCTCTAAATTTTGCCAGAAACATAGCCTTTATCATGTTAGGAAGCTAGCCAGTTAGTTACCTTAATATCAGTATTTTTACTCGGGTGCCAAGTGGTGTGTAATAATAATAAATGGAGGAGCTTCCCCCATCAATTATTATGGGAGTTGTTACTTGCCCTTATCCATGTTAATAAGATATAATCCTCCTACCACCAGTAAATTTGAGGTTTAAATTAATTGTTAAATGTACATGCTTTGCAGTGGAAAATGAAGATATATTTCGTAATTTTCACAGTGAAATTATATTTGATAATTTTTACTGCAGCCAGACTAGGTCTGAATGCGGATGAAAATAATATTTCATAACTGAATGGAATTATCAACAGAAATAAGTTCCGTCGTATTTAAATTTTGCTATGCCACTTGTGAAAATATTGCATCTGGTGTCCACTCAGTGAAATATATTTCGATCTTACATGCAAAACAAACAAATATCCTATATATGTTCATTGTTGTTTCTACAGACGAGAATGTGGTAAACTACGTGAAGAAATTACGGAACAAAAAGACAGTGAGATGAGAGCAGCTTTAGAACAATTATCAAAGATGAAAGATGAAGAAATAATGGCCACTCGATCAGGCTGGGAAAATAAAGTTGCTGATCTTACCAAGCAGGTAATAATAATTATTTTATTGTCAATATCTTACCATGTTTATTGTGACAGCTATGTCAGTATTGAATAATCCTTCGAAGAAAGGATTTTAACATGAAGTAGGTGGATCAAATCAGATGCTCTTTTGTGCTGGAAAAAACATATATTAAGAAATTATTTCTATAGGGTAATTGTGTGGGTCTTAAATTTCTGCGTGCTTTATGTCTGTGGTGAACATCAACCTCACATTGATGTGTTTTATATCTGGGGAAAATCCAGCTTGTAATATTGAATTCTTTTTCGAAGTTGTGACCAGCTAGCTGACAAAAGGGTGGTGGTTTTGTCCAAATACTTCTTTGTGTTAAGTACTTTATTCAGAGAGATGTTTGGGGCTTTTCTCTTCCTTTATAGCTAATTTTTGCCTTAATTGGTTCAACATCAGTATATTGTCTAGGTGGTTTAAATTGAACCCCCCTGAAATTTCCCTCTTTGTCTGTAGATTGCATCTTTGAAAGAAAGTATGGCCACAAACAACTCCAAGTTGTTAGAAGAGCAGGAGAAGATGAGGCTGGAAGCTGAGGAAGAGCGGCGGCGCCTGGAACAGGATCTACTGAAGGCTGCTGATGAGTACATGGTTAAGATACAGGCTCTAGAAGCTATACATGAAGAAAACATCAGTAAATTGAAGGAAGAAAACCAAAAAGACCTAGAGGTGTGTGTCATTTTTTTCTTACATAAAATAGATTTATTAATTTGAGGATATTAAGATTTATTTAAAATTTTATGGAAACATTCATGTTTTCTCTACAAGAAATAGTTTTAACTAGAAGAAAGCTTTATTTTTTCACTTATTTTTTAAGAGTTAAAGAAAGGCCTGATGATACGGTAAATGGGTATTTTCAACAAGAACTTCTGTTGTTGTTTTTTACCTTATTCATTTAGAAATGCATTTTGCACGGTTTTTATCCATTTCTTTAAAGTACTTGAAATTTACAGTTTGCAGTGCAATTTAGCTTTTTAGTCAGAATGATATAACATTTTCCCAATGAATACAGGATTTAAAGAAACAATTATCAGAGAAGCATCTAGAAGACATGCAAGCACAAATGTCAGCTCATAAAGTAACTGTAGACAGCCTAAAAGATCAAGCTGACCGCGAGAGACAGGCAGAACTTGATGCTCTCAGGGCTAAATTGGAGAAAGAAAAAGGTTTGCAAGAAATTTACATATATAAATTGCTAGGTTTATGTTTCTTTGCTTTAAGAGAAGTAAGTCTAGAGGTATATTTCTGAAAATTTAAAAACTTTCCTGGGTAGTGCTTGAAATATTAAAGAATTTTCACTGTGACAGATATTTTCAGATGAAAATAATAAATGATTTTTTCACTTCATATTCTTGTATTCAATGATTAACAGCATAGTTATGTTGTATATAATATATATTTTGATGTATACAACATTTGATACTATAATAAAATGAACACCAGCATAAGGAAGTGACCCTTATTGGCATTTTACAAATGATGTCAAAAAACGTTAACATTTTCAATGACCTAAAAAATAGTGAAGTAGTCTTGATATGTTAAAGATAAATATGAATAGGTAACAATAAGCAAATGTCAAAAGTTGTTTTTATTTATTTCAAGAGCTATAGAATTGAATTTATTTAAGAATTCAGTATGTCAAAAAAACAAAAAAAATGAAATTAAGGGCTATTTTCTCATGCCGACAGTCATTGTTAGAACTATTTCGGTGCATTTATAAGAACTATGCTATTATAACAATTTATAAAGAAACACTTGCTCCTACATTACATGACATGAACATTTAATTGTTTATATAATATCATTATCATAGATACAAATATATTACAGACAGTCTACGTGATGATATGTATCAACGTCATATGCAGGAACTGGACAAAAAATCCAAAGAGCATGAGGCACACATGCAGGCAGCTAGAATGGAACTTGAAAGGGCAGTTGAAATCTCTAAACAGAAGGTAAAATTTTATAAACTCATTTTATATACTGAATTTTTTTCATAAGAAAATCGAAGAAAACTAGGAAAAATTCATGTCTTTTGATCTTTCAGGTTATTGTTATTATTTGATTACCCTGACTGGTTTCCTTCACTTACTACATAAAAATGGTAGTACTGATAAGTTCAAGTAGTAAAAGAGAATCTGACAGGCCTTTTCCGCATTATTTGTGAGTCTTTTGAGTATCCTACCCTGAGACTGAGACAATGCAAAATGAAGCATGCAAAACATTTTACTTCTATTTAAAGTTGTTATTTAGTCATAATAATGTAGGTGTAACTTCATATCTACTCCAGATTCTAAAGATAATAATAGTGAGTGTTTAGTCTTTGTTGTATTGGCAGTATTGTGTTTGATCTTCCATTAAATTATTTCTAAATTATACACTATTATGAACATAACTTTATAAGAACAAAGTACAACATTTTGTTTATAACAGGTTAAAATCATAATGGGACTTCTATGGGGTAGGTAGGCTGTCTAGGCTATAGTCTTTGTGCCGCAGCTACTATTAAACATACTTTAGAACACGATTTTATCAGTTTAATTATTTTTCACAGGAAAGAGATCATGCTCTTCGTGTAGAAGATCTCCAAGGGGAGATCACTCAGAGAGAAAGACATATCACAAACCTGAAAGAAGATTCATCCAAGCTACAGACAAGTATAAATCATTTGAACAAAGAGATAGACTTCAAACGGCAAGAAATTCAGAAAATAAAGAGTGAAACTCAAAACCAAATTAGGTAAAGTACATTAATATTATAATTTTGTAGGGGGATAGGGGACCTACAGAGCTTACTTGTTAAGGTTACTGATTTTGAATGACTTGTACCTTACTGCTTTGTATTGAAATCCCACCAGAGACTTTTAACTGTTTCCTGTGATGAAGCTATCAAGCTAGATGTATAAGGTCTGTAGTTCTACTCCGGTGCCCGCAGGTGCCTAAAACAATGAATTTGATAATAAAGATAATTATTTTATTCTGATCTAAGATTGGCCAAATGTTATGTGTCATATTACTTTGATATTATTGTAACTCCGTCATGAATAGATAATGTACATCTGAATGAGTTAGCTCCCTTGTCTTGAAGATTTGATTATTTCTGACTAGTTGAGTTGACATGTGTGTATGGGAATATTTGTACTATTATCTAGATTTATTGACATATATATAATAGGTTGGTAGAAAAGAAGATGTTGGAGAAAATGGAGAGAGAGATGGAGAATCTACAAGCGGATCATCTACGTGACTCACAGGAACTTGTGAGACAGTTTAATGAGGCTCAAGAAATACTCAAAGATAAAATCTCAGAACTCCAGATCATGTAAGTTTCATGCATTTGAGAAGATTGTTTTGACTTTTTTTGGACTAGAATGTGTATGTTTATTGTATATATATAATTTATTTTATGAAAGCAATTGTCATGTACAAAATAGATTAGATCTTCACAAAATACTTAAGGAAAAATAGTTTAGGCCTTCACATTCACAGAGTAATTTAAAAAAGAAAAGACAAAAAATCAGAGACGATCATATTTTCATTGTTCTTTTAAACTGGACTATTCGATAAGAATAAGTAGAGCTATTGTATTGTCACCCGAGCGTCGGCATTGGCGTCGGCATAACCACTTATGTTAAAGTTTCTGAAATACCTCAAATATTTTCAAAGTCCATTGACATATGGCTTTAAAACTTTGCACACTTGTTCACCATCATGACCCCAACCTGTAGACAGGAGGTGGTAACTGTATCTAGCATTTTGACAGAATTATGCCCCTTTTTCTACTAATATACATTAAAGTTTTTATAATACCTCAAATATTTTCAAAGACCATCGACGTATGGCTTTGAAACTTTGCACACTTGTTCACCATCATGACCTCAACCTGTAGACAGAAGGAGGTAACTGTATCAAGCTAATTGACAAAATAATGCCCCTTTTTCAACTTAGAATTTACATTTAAGTTTGCATACCACCTCAGATATCTTCATAATCTACTCTTTTTTGAGAGCATAATAGGACTCTATCCAAGGCCTATAACTGTAACATGGATTTAAAGAAAAATTTTGCCCTTTTGTTAACAAGATTTTTCATTATCAAGGCTCTTTAACTGTCAAGTACTAAGAATAGTCGAGCGTTGCTGTCCTATCTACAGCTCTTGTTCAATTTCTTGTTTAATTGGACATTATTTTCTTTTGACTTACACTGTGTTAGGTAATTTTGTCATAATTCTAATTAATGGTTCATGGGAATGTTTAGTAATTCAGGTATCAGTACCACTCATGTATCTCCAAGGTTCTATAAATATATGTTCATTTCATATCCATGTTCATTTCCTGTGCCTTCAACAAAACAGCTGGAGATTAATTAGCAGTTCCAAGGCTATTGCAGTATTAGCACATTTTTAAATCAAGAAATACAGATTTAGTCCATTAAATTACAAGAGGCAGGTCAACTAGTGTCATGCCTCCAGATGAGCCAAAATAAAAATTTATTAAAGTTTAAGGAAAGTAAAGAAATTGAAGTAATAATTTACATGTTAGTGTGATTAATGATTTTGCAGTATTTATCGCCATATTTCCACTTTGTGACTAACACAGTTAGGGTATTTTTTGCATATTTTGACATCTTTATGGTAATTTTTGTGGATTATAAGTGTCCATATAGAAGGAATGTCTGTATATTAAGTTTAATTTTATCTTGATTTGTTTTAAAAGGACTCCACTGATTTTTTTGATTTATCAATATGACAGGACTGGAACCTTTTTTGAGGTTTTTATACCATTTGATGTAGATATGTACCAATAACTTGTGTGCTAAATTTCAGATCATATTTCTTTACTATGTTAATGAATTCAATTTTCAATTCTATTCTTAGTATTCTTCTTTACTATCTTTCTCATATTTTCTTGTTTAAAGAGCACCTTTTAATCTATTCCAGAGTTTCTAATATTATGTTTTTAGGCTTGTGGAGCTTCTTTAATGCGAATTTTAATTGTCAACAAATGTTTTAATTTATGTATGGTTTAATTTAGGTTACAAGAGGCAGAAGATAGGTATGAGAATCGTGATTCCCGGCCAGAAGATTTAGAACTGATTGACCAGCTCAGAGAAAGAGTTCGGGAAAAAGAAGAAAGAGTGCATGCTCTTATAGTATGTTGTTATTTGTTGTGATTATTTGGTTACCTCTTAAACTTTAACCTGCTTAATTACACAAAATTTACATGTTAAAGGCACATTATGTCTCAGACACAAATATAATTAATTCTTTAGTACAGATAAGAGTTTCATAACATTTAAGTAGTGGTTTTAGAGCATGTAAGATGCTTTTCACCTGTAACCTGTAGGATATAGAATGGAATGGGAAATTATTTGTCAAAAAAGTAGAAAATGTAAACAATGTTGTTTTTGACTTCCATACAAAATACTAAATCACTATTACTGTGCCAAATAGCAACAGAATCAAAGGTTGTTCAGGAAATTGGCCAATGTGTAATATATTATTAATAGGACACCAAAAATTTGGAAAACAAAAACATTAGCATTTCTGAGGCATAATGGGCCTTTAAGGGCTAGGTGTGATGCTTATACTGTTATATTGTGACTTTAAAGCAAAGAACCATGGTGAACTTTAATAGGTACAATGTACTGAATAAATGCACTTTCTTAAGTTTGTTACATTAACACAACATGACACATTTTCAATTAAACCTTTGATTAAAGTGTTTTTGAGTTTAAATTAATTTGATCATGTCTCAGTTTAGACAAAACATGTTGAGTTATTTGCTTTTCTTTTGAAGATGACACTTTAGTAGTTATTTCAGTTGTCTCAAATTCTTACATTTCCAAGTGGTAAATATCGTATTTCAATAAAATGTTTTGCACTGATGAAGGCTACATGTACTAGCTGAAACATTTACAGTTAACATAAGATAACTGTAGTTCATATTGGTGTGGCTTTTTTTGTTCATTTGTTTCATAAAATGAGCAGCGTCATGACAAAACCAACATAATGCGTTTGCATCTGCCCAGTCTGATCAGGATCCATGCTGTTTGCTTACAAACTCTATTACAAATACAGAGAAACTGATAGCGAACAGCATGGATTCAGATCAGACTGCGCGGATGCGCAGGCTGGTCTGGATCCATGCTGGTCGCAAATGCATTACGTTGGTTTGTTCATTTTGTTTCGTAAAATGTAATTATTTTCACTTTATTTTTCAGGAAGAGAAGAAGTTCTTTCAGATGGAACTTGTAAATAGGGAAACCAATTTTAATAAAGTATTCAGTGCAAGTCCAAATGTAGGAGTTCTTAATCCTTTAGATGCAAAGGTAAATAATTTGAAATCTTCCCTAGACTTTCTATCAAAGGATTTTTTACCTCTTGTCTTCAAAGATAGAATAATAATGAAATTGACAATGCACTTAAGGCATGACATTAGTGTAAAAAGGTAAATGGACTTTGGCTTGAAAGTTATTTGTCTATATACAACACACATTATTAATCTGTTATTTGTTTAAAAGCACTTATTGTGTGCCATTTATATTTGTTCTTCTTTGTTTATTGGGTCCTTGACATAAAAAATGTGGCAGCTGTTTGGGGATGATAGAAAATTATATTTATTACAGAATTTAGAAATTGTTTAAGATATCTGGTGGCTGTTAACTGCTTTAAGTGACATAATGCTCATTTTTTACCTGTCAGGCAAAAATAAATCAATTGCATATTTCAAAAGATTGACTTTAAACAATGGTGATTACACAATAATTGATAATGACAAATGTTTACAGTAAAATATTAAAACAACCTGAAATATAAAAAACTGTCCCACTTTTTTTTATAAATTGAAGTATACTGATAACTTCCGCAGGATACTTGTAGATATTTATGTGGGTCACGGTGGTTATTGATTATTCAGGGGACGTTTATAATGAAATTGAAAACAAATATGTAGACAATGTATGACAAAATGTAAAGTTATTTTGAATTTTACCTGATCAGTCGTCATTTACACTGTGATGGGCACAATGTCACTTTAAATATTACAAGAAACTGACAATCAAACTAAAGCCACTGATGGATAAGAAAAAACTTTGAGGTCAATTGAATGACACTGTCCGTATGCTGGGGATTTTTATTAAACTTTTTTTTCTGGCAATGAATGAAAAAGAAAATTATGAACATGCATGAGTTGTTATAGGTTTTGATGCTTTCTTGTTAATGGTACATGTATTATATTTGAGGGTAACAGGGACCTACAGTATTTGATTCTTAACTTGTTAAAATACTAGTGTGATGGCATGTACTTAAATGAATCCATCGGAAAGCCTATTTCCTACAAGAATCCTAGGAAATAGCTTGCACCATCATCAACTATAATGTTCTAATTTTTTCTATTCAAACTAATATGACTATGTTCTCTCATGAGACATTTTATGATACTGCAAGTTTGTAACATCACTTTTCATTTAATAATCTTATCGTTTATATAGTTTTATATACACGACTGCTGTCAATTCATAGATAAATCTCTTTTTTTCTCCAAAAAAGGAAGTTCCCAGTATTATTAATTCATTATAAATATTCCTGACAGGTTATATGGCCATATAAAAACAGTTGTTTGCAATATAACTCTCGTCTAGCGGCTCGGGTTGTAAATATAGGACCATATAACCTGTTAAAAATCTTAATGACTTATAATATAAATTTCTAGTCATGTATCAGTAATTATATATATTTTTTACTTTGCTCTTTTCATTGAACTGTGAACTATGATTTTGCAGAAACGAGGTTCTAAAGGAAAGGGAAACAACTCTGCACCAAACTTAAGTGGAAGGCTGGACCCTTTACCCAACTCTCCAATACATCATGGTCAGTTGAACCCATCAAGACCGTTGCCATCTTTCACAAAGAAGTTTGTGAAATGATAATAATTAGCGTTATTTACTAAACAGGATCCATCCAATGCTCAGGAAAAATGTTTTTACCAACTGATATATAAAAACAGACCTTTGTAAAGGAACACTGCTTATAACTTTAATTTGTAATTTAGAAGTTATTGTATTCTGGAGGTGGTCTTAATAGAAGATTGATAACATCAAATGTTATGGACATATTGTTTGCTTTTCAGTCATAAAATTATCATGGTTTAACTCATTTAGTATATAAATAGTGTCAGCATTGAATTAACAATTCTTCTTAGTTTGTTTTGTTTTTGTTATTTGCCATATTATAAATACAAATCAAAGGTAAAATTTGTGTTTATAAGTTGAGCGTGTATATCACAAATAAGTGTAATAGTTATAAAATGGATTTGCAGCAAATAAACCAAAAGATGTTATTATATGAAGTACACATTGATTTATATTTATTTATCATAAGTGCTATATTCATTGACAAAAACACACCATTCTGTAGTATTTATTATCAGAACTAGTAATTTTTATCTTTTATCAATTACCGACTATTTTTTTTATCTTTGATACATTATTGCCTATGCCTAAGTTGTTGTTAAAAGTTACCAAAGTAGCAATTTTTATCTTTTATTTATTACCAAAAAACTAGCTATTTTTTATTTATCTTTAATACCTATGTTAAAAGTTGTACAAAGTTACTGGCTTATTACCGAATGTATGCCCTTAAGCAGTTGTTAGATTGAGCCTAACTAGGGTCATTACCTTTCTTCCTTAACTGAAATCAGTCCTGGTTACTAGTAGTAAATAGTTCAGGTTAGCAGACTCCCGAATAGTTAAAAATATGCTTTCTGCCTTTTTCCCTATGAATAGAAAATAAAGTTACTAAAGTCGCCATATAACTTTGAATTTGTGTGGTTCTTTGGTCGTTATATAGAACACATACATGCTTTGTGTTTTTTTTCATTGTACTTAAATGCACAGATATGCATACAATATTTAACTCCGGTAGTTGTCTTTTGTATTTTTTCTGTACAAGATAATTGTCATATCAATTGTCCTCTATTACACTCAAACTTTTATTGGGGGTATATAGTGTATGAAAACCAAAACGAGGGTTTTGTTGATGTTTTGAAATGGACTTTTTTTATTCAAAATAAGGTCATTTTGTATGCACATGATATATGCTAGAGTGGGTGGCAAAGCACTCGTATGTTAATAAACCTTCACTGACTGATTGAAGTCCTATAGTCCTGTTTTTCTGTGGGAATGGTATCTTAAAAAAAGTTAAGAGTCTTAATTTTTATTTCTTTGAGAATAAGATACAATTGAGGTCACTTCAGCTTTGTTTCCAATTTTTTTATACAGTATATGAATACTGAACAGTTTTGGAGTATATTTGTTTGTGAGTTTTATAGCCAAGGTTGCATTTAAGTCAGTTGTAACGACACTATAATCACTTATTAGTCACACTATTTTCACTTATTGTGTTTGAACCAGTATTTTTTTTATCTATCCATTTGTTTTTTTGTTTTTGTTTTTTTCTAAAACCAGTTCAAAGTTTAAAGCTAATTAAAACTTGGAACCAATCTAATTAAGGTTCTTTATATACTGTTGACATGTGCAATGATAGATTGGACATAGATAAGTTATAGATGCACAAACTATTACAAGTGAACAAATGCTCAGTTGTGTAAAAGGCCTTAAAATCAGGGTAGCTTACAAAAGGTCAGTGGTTCAAGTATGGTGCCTGCTCATGACTGAAATAACCCACAGAAATGTACCTGAGAGTTTCCTCTAGCACTGAAGCTGAAAAATCACCATATTACTTTGATCATGTTTGTGTATTTTGACTCTGACTACACTTGATATCTACAACTGACTTTTCCATTTAGACAAAACCACAAATTAAAAACATGTATTGACTGAATAGTAAAAAGTGCGGACTATGATCAGATGGCATGGATTTGCTGGCTAATTTTTGTTTGCACTTGTTGTGTGGGTAGAATCAAGAGTTCAGAATTGTTTTTTAAAGAATTTTAGGGGAGTAAAAGTGAATTTTGTGATACTGCTTGAACTTAAATAAATTTTAGAAAGTATTCTTAAAACTTACCCAGTTTTGATTTTTTTTTCAATTGTTTAAAATCATGTTGTAAGTAGAAGAGTCTTTTTTTAAATTCGATCTTTTTGCACTTTGTCTGTTCAGTGTTGAATAGAGATTTGTTTAATGTATTAACAGTAAAAGTATTATTGACTTTTAAATTTAGGGTGTTAATTTCTTGTTTGTTATGGTTTCATTAAGCAATTTTAAGACTTATTCTATTCTGTGTATAAAACTGTTAAGCACTTCTGTGATACATACATATATAAAACGTATAATGTATTTGTTCAAATGATGTAACAGTTGTGATGATTTTTTAAATGTTTGTTGTCAACAGACCAATTTGAAGACAGTTCATGAAATATCTGTATATTTGATCTGAGTAAAAGGTGTAGAGATTGTAGATGTAAAAAAAAATAAATAGCATGAGCTTATGAAAATTAAATTTGCTCTCATTCAACTTCAGGCAGTCGTATTACTTCATTAAAAAAGACAGGAGTTTTATTCATTACTTAAAATATCTATATTCATATTAGCGTTTTTGTTTCCAAAAATAATTCAAATTGATTGTTGAATGTAGGTAAGTTTTCAAATGACTGAAAAAGTATAACTTTCATATCTTATCTACATTTGTATTTTAGAATTTGAGATAATGATGACCAGGTTTTTTTTTAAGTAAGAAATTACTTACCCTTTAAATACCCAATTCAGCAAACATTGTGATATATTTGCTGGTAGTAAAGTATGCTGTTTTTGCAATGATTCCTCTAAACAAATATCTGCTTACTTTGATAGGAATGAAAAGCTTGTAACAGGTACAAAAGCCATGAATAAAATGTTTTGAATAAGTTATGTACAATTTACAGTATTTTGTTTTAATATTTTTGTTTCTGTGATAGATGCTAGAAACTGCTGATCTTCATATTGAAATAAATATTTAAAATGTTTGCAGTGTTTATGTTATTTCTATCGATATTTTATCATCCTCAGATTTATGAAAATTAAAAAAGAAATGTTGGAACAACTTAAAAATGTCATAAAATGTACAATTTATATTATTGGTTTTTAAATATCATAGAAAGTTCATACATTTTTAATGGATAGCTGATATTGCAAAAATGCAGTACAAAATAATTTTTTAAGCATTAGTTTGTTCAGAATATTACTTTAAAAGTCTTGAAGGTATTAATACTACATATTAATACCTATGTTACTATATATAGTAACACAATTTAGGGTATTTCAGGGCCATTATGGTCACTATGCAATTTCGATACTCGGGTCATTATGGACATCTTAGGGCATTATCCCATAATGGCGAGCAGCAACACAGTATTACCTTCTTAATAATTATTTTTATCAACAAACAGTAAACTCCACTTATAACGGTATCGCTTATAACGATATACCGCTTACAACGATGCATGTTGCCGATGTCCCGATTATTGTTTTCAAATTGGTTGCCTCTCGGATATAACGATACCTGGTAAAAACGATATAAATTTGGCAGGCATCTGAATATCGTTATAAGCGAAGTTTACTTTATTTCCAATTAATGACCATATGACTTTACATAATGTCAAAATGATGCTTTAATGCTGTTATTTAATATGTCCTGCTCAGTTTTGTGAATTTTGTTTGATAGTTGTACTCAAGAGATACATAATTCTAGAATCTTCACTGAAATGATTTGTATCGTACGCCGGGATATCAGTTCAATGAATTTCCGTGTTTTGTCTTTAATTTGAATTTTTTGAAGCTTTGTTTCCTTACTTGAATGCGCCTTATATTAAATGTTTGATGTGCTTAGGTCATGAAAAGGGTATTCTATATATACCAGAAATTCCAGTCATTTTGATCAACAAAAGATTTTCAATGCCATATCTTAATTTGAGAGATTTATAAAAGAAGAAAATACGATTTTTTTGCAGATAATAAGGCTTTTGTCAATTTATCTCTATGAAACAACAAACAAATTTTCAAAATCATTTACATAAAAAATTTTCGTTGTGATAGTGATTGCAATATATTGATTGTATCGGAGTTTACACACATTTGGAATGAAGCTCATAAATGGTGACAAAATTTGTTAAATCAATGTTCATTTCCAAATATGATTCATTGCCAGTAAGAATATGTACAAGTCAATCAATAAATCCTTTTAACTTTAATTGGTTTGTTTCAGTTCTGAATAAAACACAATTTTCATGTTAGAATATTGAGTTCTCCTCAAGCTCGTGCTAAAGTGCTTCAACGGCAGCTTGTATCTAGCATAGCCCGTTATAAACAAAATAAAACAAAATGAGAATGAGACTGCAATTATTCTCTGTTAAGCTGTGTTGATCAACCATCAGGAATTCCATTTTGTCTTTTTTATGAAAAAAAAAAAAGAATAACTGGAATTTTAAGGAGAAAGTAATTTTTGAGAACATTTTCAAATTTGATAATTGACAATTAAATGCATTTTCAACTTTATTTGACGCTTTAGAAGATTATTTCCTCGTTTAAAGGAACCATAATTACATAAAATTAGTTATTATCCGAGTTCGTCTCTTTCTAATGTAAAGAAAATTTGCACTTTTTGTCCTTCATTGGTGTAGTATATGTTAGGGTACCTTAAAGTCGCATGTCTCCAGATTAACCAATTTATTTCAAGACAAACAAACTTGAAAAAAAGTGCTAAGATGTTTAGAAAAGTAAAAAGTTTCAAGTACTAGTATATTTAATAATTTACATATAATGCGCAAATAATGACTGATTTATAGTTGCTGTATTTATCACTATGTTTCTACTGCTTTAATCACTAAAGCAATATACTTCTTTTGCATAGTTTGACCTCTTTTTGGTTATTGGTTATTCACGCCGTTTGCAATGTGTGAATTAATATCTTTGTTCACTTCACAATATTTTACTTTAAAATACATTTTAAAAATGTTCATGAAAATTAGCATGAATAAGCTACGACTCTGATATATTGCTGTAGATGATAAATGATTTTCCTATCCGGTCTGCTTGTTAAGACTCATTTTCAAAAATAAATTATTTTATTCATGTTATCATTTTTGCCAAGTTGTATGCATTTTAGTAATACACGAAGGCTCGAGCTTTTATTTAACTAACGCTCTCTTGTCTTTAACTGTATTTAAAAGTAATCAGTATGGAACTTACTAAATTGATTCAAGAGCATTACAACTTTTTATGCTTTATTCTCTCGTTACATTACGAGTACATGTTTCTGTCAAATCTTAATTATGATGCAATTTTTACCACTGTTTAAATGCTTGTCGAAATGGGTTAGGAATTAGAAATTTTAGCATAACATGGAAACAAAACAACAATTATAATTTTTATTTATCAATTTTTATTTATTTTTTTTTTAAGTTGACAAACGACTCTTTGATACTGAGATATACATAATTATGAAAGTATTAGGTCGATTCCGATATTATTTTTGAGATGATTCTAGTAATGAATCAATAATTTTATTACCTAAATTTGTTTTATTTTACTAGTAATTCAAAATTAATAACCAGGGCTTCTTTTGTGCATAAGCTGAACTTGAAGATGAAACTCGATTTGACCAAATATGTTGTTTTTTTTTTCGAAAATTTGAAAAAAGTAAAATCAAGAAACATTAAATGAAAGCTTCATCTAAATAATTCAATACCACTTTGCACGATTTTGAAAATCACCAAAGACAATAAATCAAGTACTGTCTTTCTGAAAGAATAGACTATATTCAAGCTTTAGATTTTGTTTTATACATGTACATTTCAGATATACAATGTATTATGTTACATAACATCTTCAGATAAAAAGGGGAAGAACTTCTAAAATTGTGTCTTTAAAGGAAATGAAGTTCGGCTCAGAATTAAAAGTAATGATATTGTCGATGCAAAATGTTTGTAATACGAATTTACGTCCTTTTCAAGTGTAAATGTCAAACCAATTTTCTCCAAAGGTTGCGCCTCAGGAAATCAGCGATTCTATTAATGTCTTCTATAAAAGTTTTGTGATACTGGCGAATATTCTTTTGTTGCATGCTGTTAGCAATATACATTCTATGTTGGAGACAAATTCAGTATTTCGTTACATTATGAAAATCTGACTAAGGGTTTATATAGAAATAACAATATGCTCCTGGAAATCATTTCTTTATAAATTTAGCATCCTCGGTTAAATTATTGATGAATCATGTTTCCTATATTCAGTTTCGTAGTTGAAGGAGCAACTAAGTGACATAAGTAAATGCATATTAATATAGACGTTGAGATCAGATGTTTTTTTCGTTCAGTATAATTGATACAATTCTTCCTGTCTGTTCTTGATATGTATTACTCCTAGTGACATTTCTATCAAACTAAGATATTGATGGGATCTCAATTGTCGAGTGCGTAAGGCTGCGGGCAATTGCCCGTCACCGTTGCAAGTTAAATCTCATTGGGTTTAAGTATCAAGTATGAACACATATGTGGAGTTGCTTTATTTAAAATTTTACCATGACAAGATTAAATGTTGATCGAATACTGCTTAAGCTGGTGCTAAGGGGAGTGGACATTAGCTTGCACGTTTTCCATTATTGTCCCTGAACAGGCTCAATAAAACCGAGCCTGCAACATTTTCAATCTAGCCGTTTTGAACTGTCTCAAAGGATTCTATTTCTTTCTATTTTTGTTGATGCTATCCAGCAAGTTTCAGACATGTTGTTAGTCCTATTGAGGGAACACTTTTGTCTGAAAAAAAATACAAAGGAGTATATGTACCTGAGGTAATCTCCATCAGTATAGCTTGATGAAATCTAGAAAATACGTTCTGAATATGTCTAACTTGAAAAAGGGCATGCAAAAAACTATGTTTGGGAAGCTGCTTTTCTACTGGTCATATAAATATGGTCCGGTCTTTTGTAACGACATCATGTACTAATGCTGTGTTAACCTATAGTGTGTCGAGTTTAAAACAATTTTATAACAAATTTTCTCTAGAGACTGTATAGCAATTATTAGTATTTTCAGCATAATAATTCAACTGGTATAAACTGTTCTTCTCCCATTTCAAGTACATTTATATGTGTTCGACTTATCCCTAGTACCACGTATGCTGAATAAGTCTGTCCGTTCATGTGTTCGCTAGTATTATTAAATAAAATAGCATTAGATACATCAATAGGAAAAATACCAAGTTTAAAATGTCGGTATGTCTGTATTTCTGCTGTTAAGTTTTTTTCCCATTTGCGTTTTGCATAAAACAGGGGATAAAGGATTGGTCTAAAAACTGACTATTTTATATTTTTCATGATTTTCAAAATCGTGCAAAGTGGGATTGAATTATTAAATGAAGCTTTCATTTAACGTTTCTTGATTTTGTATTTTTTATTTCAAATTTTCGAAAAACTAGCGTATCAAATTGAGTTTTGTGTTCAAGTTTAACTTATTCACAAAAGAAACATATCTGTTAATAAAAGATAACAAAGTGATGACAATTTAAGCATATTTCAATAATTGACGTTGACGGTCCAACAAAATGATTATAGCAAAAATCAAGCAAAATTCATTAATTTGACGTTCATGGTCAAGGTCATTGATGAGTAAAGGTCATCATCAGTTTGGTTTTCATGAAGGTCTTGTCCATGGACTGTTGTGTCTAAGAATGAATAACAAAGTGATAGCCTATTAGAGCAGGAATCAAGCAACATTCAAACATTTGACCTTATAGGCCCAGGTCATTTATAAGTCAAGGTCGTTCATAGCCAAAAGTATTAAAATAAGAACAATTTTCCTTAAAAAACAACTTATATTTTAATAGTGACAATACGTGGTTACATAATGTTGCCATGAGTTCTAACTGAAAAATTGGGATCTATCATAGCTTGGCAATTGTTGATGTGTTTTTTTCATGACTATCTGTTTTTTACGACACCAGTTCATTATCTGCTGAGAAAAATAGTTGA